TCGATCGCTTTTTCTTTTTGACTGTCACATTCATTATTGAAAAACAATTTTACAATTATTGTAGAATTGAACCCGTGAGCATAAAAAGAACGTATTGACTCTTCGCCGATGAATACGAAACGCAAAAAAATCGCCGAACAAAGTGAAACACCAATCTGTTATTGGATCAATATGAAACATGAAATCGTTGGTCACTATTTTATTTACGTTGCGCTTTGTTTCGAAGCGCGGCAAGTGTTTCATTTTGTTCCAGTAACAGAACGTTGTATCATTTTGTTCGGCGACGCGCTCAATGTACTGTTTTGAAAAAATATGCATGATTTGATACAGTTTTGTGCGAGTGCAACATAAATTCTGTTCGCTTGAAAGTGAATCGTGAAATATCGGCTGACTATAGAAATTGTGTTTCACTTTAATTGAAACAAAAATGTTTGATACACTTTTGAGTCCATTGGTATGATGATTCATTTTAATGGTGGTTTTGGTCGTGATTTGTCTATGAAGTGAAAATTAACTGATAAGTAGCGCGAATTTCGATGTGCCGATAACACCAATAGAGCAGAAAAAAATACTATATGAAAATCGAAAAAAAAATTAAACTTTTTTTTTCGACTGTTGCCTATTTCGGATCGTCTACATGGGAAGGTTGTATGAAATCCTCGGAAAGCGGGTTCACGCCGCTGTGAATACATTGGTTTATAAAGTGAAATCTATACATGACCAAAACACGGACGCACAACACCCATTCTATTTCGCTCACACTTACGTGCAATTTTTACCCGTATAACAAAGTAGTCTGCTTTACTGTTAAAAAGATGTGCGCAGTAAAGAAACAAGAACGTACATGTTTCAGCAACGTTAAAATGCACGTAAGTGTGAGCGAAATAAAATGGGTGTTGTGTTAAAATGAATCATCATACCAATGGACTCAAAACTGTATCAAATCATGCATATTTTTCCAAAACAGTACATTGAGCGCGTCGCCGAACAAAGTGATACAACGTTCTGTTACTGGAACAAAATGAAACACTTGCCGCGCTTCGAAACAAAGCGCAACGTGAATAAAATAGTAGCCAACAATTTCATGCTTCATATTGATCCAATAAAAGATTGGTGTTTCACTTTGTTCGGCGATTTTTTTGCGTTTCGCATTCATCGGCGAAGAGTCAATACGTTCTTTTTATGCTCACGGGTTCAATTGTAAATACAATTTTACAACGAATTGTATTTACAATTACAATTTACAAAAATTGTAACAGTACTGTGCAACAGGCCCCAGAACAGTTACTATTTGAACGTTTCTTAAGACAACATTAAACCATGGACACGTCGTGGGAAGAATTGACATGAGCGCCATTAACCTCGCGCGGAAATAAAATGAAACACATAATATCAGGAGTGATATTTGTAACAATTTCGTTGATTGAAAGTTGATAATATCGATGATAATTTTATAAAATAATTGCTATTGTCTAGGAACATCACATTAGAATTGACATTACTGTCAAAACAACTCATCGGGAAATACTGACTTGAAGTTGGTTCGATAAAAATGTCAAAACAGTTTATCGACGATAGGAACAAAGCAAATAAAAAAAATTAAAGAAACATTTTTTATTACAACGGTGAATCAGAATGTGAACGTTCGAAGTGTGAAACATCTGTGTTCAAAGTGTGTGTTTACAATCGCTGTGAGGAAAAACAACGTTCAATGTGACGCACAAGTGATCATTTGTGTGTACGTTCCAGTAACTCAAGACTTTATTGTAATGACTGATTTAAGTCTACATCAAGATAAAATCCCCCCACTGTTAGTATCATTTTAGAACTGGAATCATTGATTTTTATATCAATCAGAATACAATTAAATGTGTCACTGCTACACTGCGTCTATATCATATATGATGCCTATATTTAAGCACTGTTCGCTCGAGTCAAAAGGCAAATGCAAGACTAGAGAGAAAATATCGTTTGAATTGATACATTTCAACGTTGCGGACAGCAGTTTCCATTATTGACACGGATACAAATGATCTTGATCAATTAGAGTCAAATCGTTTACTGGCCAAAAGAAATTTCCACTTGGAAAATTACTCTACACGGATCATTCACTATCAATGAAATGGATCGAAAAGGCTTTTTGGAATTATTTTTGATGAAGAAATACGGCTTACAAGTAATTATGTTTACAAGCGAACAAATTAAATGTCAATTAATAATAGCGAACAACAATAAACCACGAATTACTAAATTAATTTCCTACAATATGTGCGAAATGCATATTTTCGTTATCGCATATTGAAGCTTTGCTAAGCACAACCACACACATACATAAACGATTACATAACCGAGATTCTCGAGCTTGGCTATATACTTATCGAATCTATAGTATCGTACCTGCCGACAATATGCGATACTAAAAGTATGCGGACACCAATTGCTTTTACAACTAAATGAAAAAAATGTTTTTTTCAATATTTACGCATGACAACGTTCCATTTTAGGCCACTTATCCAGTGAAAGAATGCCCAATATGCATGGGCGGTTGTTACAAAAATCGCGTCAATTATAACTGCGATTATGATAAAACTAAAGTATTTGTTAATCACTTGACTACATTCCCACAATTGTAAGTGCTGAGTCTTTACGAGGCTCATAACATTGATAATTTCATTGGCCTCAAACGAGCTTATCTTCTTTGCCTCAAACGAACTTCTTTTCTGTATAATTTTCCGTTGGGCCTTCACATTTTGAATTATCAATGAACTAAGAAACGTGAACAAATCTACATGAAAAAACGTATGATACGTTGCTGCAACTCTGTAGAAATGTAGTAATCTGGACAACACTTCCAGCTCTCGTCCATAAAATGGTGATAACCACAGAAGTCGAATTGATGATGCGGCTAAATAGCAAATGACAATTATTATGATTTTAAACTTGATCCGTTTTTGAATGTTTTTCCAATCAATCTGTGTGCATGTTCGATTTTCCAGGGTGTCAATAACAGAGTTAAAAATCGTGCTGAAATTCTGAGTTCCCTTGGACATTCGAACACTTTGCGTAACAGCAATAAGACCTAGCAATATATTAACAAACATCAACCAATGCCGTACAAATGCATGATTGTCGTCGATATTTTTTAATTTCACGACCATAAACGCAAAACCACTGAATGTTATCAAAAGTATCGAAATAATGGTTGGCATTAAAAGAATAAACCGTTTGCATGGATTGCGATTCGGTAGCCTAGTATTTTGGCCGAATAAAAAGAACAGCGTGAAATGCCATTTGAAATGCCGACGCAATGTATCAGAACTTGAAATTCCCAATATCATTATTAACAGTAGAGCTTTAGTTTTGTTCACACGAATGTTTTTCCTTGGACAAAGTCGACTGTTTCCTTTTAAGAATCACTCAATAACTGAGTATGATTAAAACGAGGCACGTGTTACCAATGAAGTCGAAACAAAAGATCGATTTTGTTTCCAAGACAAAAGAGTTAGTTTCAAGGGTATTTTTCCAATTCAATGCTTGTGTTATAATGGGAAAAATCAAATCACTTAATCAAATTAAATATATTTGTGCCAAGATCGCTTAATAAACGAAGAAAAACGACACGCAGCCCTCTAGGCGAGGGACACGAAAAACAGTTATCGTACATATATTGAGCGGGCACTATCGATGCGTCCATTTGTGTGAGTGCGATTGTGTAAACGACAATGTTCGTGTTCAATATGTGACCTTGTTTGTGCTAAGCCGTGCTATTCAAGATCAAAAACATCAGACCAATCGTGTTTCAAGTCAATCGTGCCTAACACTAATTAATTAATTGGAAATCGAACTGATAAAATTTCTCATGCTAATCGTTTGAATGCCATACGCACACGTGCATTTATCTCAGAACAATAGTTCAATCGAAAAGCAAATGAGTAAAAAAAACATTTACGTATAGTTTGTTGGATGAAATTATCTGAATCCGCAAAGTAGATGAGTGCGCCGTAAAATGAGTTTGTTGCGGAGGCCATTGATTCGAGCATAATTGCGATAAGGCTCCATCCAAATTGTTTGTTGTACATCTCCACCACTTCCCATAATTTCAAATAAATGAATCGGGTTCGATACAAAGAAAGTGTCGAAAGTCGATTCGAGCGGCCGTAGTCAAAATCCAAAATAACTTGAGACCGAACAATTGATTCGCAATCATTTTTAAGGATCGCTTCATTCATGGAAATCAGAATGAATTTGAAGAGATTTGTGTAGAATAGAGCGTGTAATATTGCCATTGTTTTGTACAGTTGCATGGAGAAAATGGCGATTTCCGTGCTCAAATCGTACAGAATTAGAATGTTCATTCGAATAATGATCGTAATTGCTATTATTGTGAAACACACAGAAAAATCTCGAATGCACTCCGATTTAAATGCACACAGCCGAAACTGTGTTTTTAGTTTGATTTTGAGTGCATTGCATATGAAGAACAGCCGTTGGTTGATTGTTCGAACGCCATACGGACGAATTAAGCTCTCACAAATCACAACAAGATTCGGTACAAACGCAGTTAATCTCAATATTATAAATATGTACAGAATCGTGTTTCTTGCTTTTATTTTTTGATATTCAACATTTAAAAATAGCACTGAGCACCAGACAGCGTTTGCAATGAGCATCACAATTGGCAAGAACATCAAAATTTTTGATTTTATTCGATTCTTCACATGAAATGGGTAAAATGGCGTTTGACCAAATATGTAAAAGAACCCGTAAAAATACTTGAAATCGGAAAATGATACCATTTTTATGATGGTTTCGAGAGACTTCTATTTAATGCAAAGACAACTCTTTCACTGTGTACAAATTCAGAAATATCCAGTTTAAATTACTCGTATTTTCATTGGTTATAACAGATCAATATCATTAATAACTATATTCTTATAATAGCCTGTTGTAACTATCAAATCAACATTTAGTCATTCACACTTGATATAGTTATTACACTTAAGCAAAGAGCTATAATACGGGCAATTAGCTAAATGTGCGTCAACAAATAATCAATTGATATGAAATTATTTCCACCTATCTAGTGTTTAGTAAACCACGTGCAACACTGTTTACTGAACAAACATCAAAGTCATTTTGTCTACTTGTATATTGATCTAAGTAAAAATATGTACAGAAATGTCAATTGATAGAGATCAATTTCGGGAACAAGTTCCGGCTTAAGTAATTACTTATTGAGTGCGTGACAAACAAATAATATAGTGTTTGACTCGAAGGGGAAATCACTCTTTTTAACTGAAAAGTAATAGTTAGAGAAAAAAAGATTTGAAAAGTAATTGAAAGAAAAAAAAGTTATTGTAGAGGTAATGTTTGATAGAAAATTACATTTTGGATGTAATTTTTGGTCAAAAATTACTTTTGCAATTACTTTTTCTCTAACTATTACTTTTAAGTGAAAAAGTGTGATTTCCCCTTCGGTTTGACTGAAAAAAAACAAGAATGACGTCTTTAAAGAAATAAAAGCAATGGGTATTTACGGTTAATATAGAATACAAAGTCTTCAGAGCCGACGAAATAAAGGAAAATCACATACACGGCGTTTAGTGCGGCGACATTTGACTCGAGCATAAATGAAATGAGACTCCGACCAAAATATGTACTGAAGACCCGTATCGCATCCCATAGTTTGAAATGAACAAATCTGATTCGTTGAAAAAAAAAACCACTGATTGTTGATTCCAGCGTTGAAAATCGGATATTTTACATAAAACACTGCATGAAGTATGGCCATTGTTTTGTACGTTTGCATGATGAAAAACGCAATTTCGGCTGCTGTTTTATAAAGAGTAGGAACCGCTAACCGCGAACAATGTGTGGCTATTATAACCGTAATACATATGATAACATCGCGATAAAGTTCAGATTTGTATCTCCACAGACGAAATTGTGTCTTTAATTTTATTTTCAAAAAATCGCAAATGAAAAATAATCGGCTATTCGCGGCCCATACATCAAATTTTTCGAAGAAGTTCAAGTAAATCACAACGAAATTCGGCACAAATCCAATGAACTTAATGGTATAAAGCGCGGCAACGTTTGATCTCTTTATTGGATGATGGTCGGACATGAGAAGTACAAGCAAACAACACACAACATATTACAAAGTAATAAGTCCATCTTATTACAGTAATAAAATGAAAGTAATAAGTATAAAGTAATAAGTTACTTATTACTTTACTTTACACTAACATTACCTATTAACACCACTATTATTTAATCGACCATTCTTGAAAAAAAGCGCCCATCATCAAAATAGTCACCCAGCATGGGAAAAACGCGAAAATTGATGACCAATATGAGGCAAAGAACTTAGTAACAAGGAGATCACCTGTCCGGTCCAAAACTTCAAAAAAATCAAGATATCGAGAATCCCTTCAGCCAAATAAAAAAAAGTGATTTCTTACCGCTATAGCCACTAACATATAGAAGTAAAAAAATGTAATTCTTATTTACTTATTTCTTTAATAAGATGATGACCTATTACTTATCACTCATCTTATTACTTGTAATAAGATGAGTAATAAGTAATAAGATCATCTTATTACAGCAATAATATTGTAATTGTAATAAGATTGTAATAAGTCTCTTATTACTTTTTTGGTGCAAGAAAAATTGCTAAAAAAGATTCATGTAAAAAAATTTGTCAAATTTTGCAAGGCACATTTTTTTCAACATTTCTTCGTCTGACAAAAATTGACATGATTTTTACATGAAACTTTTTTCGCAATTTTTTTTTGCACCAAAAGTAATGAGATTACAATCTTATTACAATTTCAATCTTATTGCTGTAATAAGATGATCTTATTACTTATTACAATCTTATTACAATCATCTTATTACAATCTTATTACTGTAATAAGATGGACTTATTACCTATTACGCATCTTATTACAAAGTGATATATTATATATATATGACTGGTTTGATTCAACGCACGTTTCAAAAGTATAGTTTTTGGTATTGGCATTGACATTTCAATGGAAACTATTTCATTAAATGCGAATAAATTGAGTTATTCGAATGGGTTGATTTAATCGACTGATAATATAATGATAATACATTTAATTGGTTGGATTGTGCACAGACGTTTACTGCTAACTAGATATCAATGGCAGGTCGTGTGGAAAATTCCAGGAGTCAAAAACTGTTTGGGTGTAGTGGGGAATACGGTCAAATTAGGGAAAAATTGAGTTTACTACACAAGAGTGCGCTTATATATTTTGTGTGTATCTAGTTATTTAGTAAACAACAATATTAACAAGACAAAAAAACAAAATTAACTTATATTGAACCAAGTAAATATGAACAGAAAAATCAATTGATAGAGATCAGATGCGTGGAAAAAGCACCCTTTATCTATTAATTTTGTGAGAGAAAGTATTGAATTCATTATTGACTACTTACGAAAAAGGTAAGAAATGGGCCTAAAATTCACCGAAGCGATGAATCCAATATACAGTGCAGCTATGGCTTCAATAACTAGATGGAGAATAATTACAATTAAATACCATCCAAATTGTCTGTTGAATATCTGTACGACTTCCCATAGTTGGACATGAACGAGTCGCATTTGTTTCATGTATTCGGCCAACTGTCTATTAAATCGTTTGCCTTTTGCGCTTAGCAGAACTTGTGAAATACTGGCAGCAACACTATGTTTACTTTTGATTCCATCACTGATGGAATTTATGATAAGTATGAAAAAATGCAAATAGAACATGGCATGCAAAACCGTTATGATTTCATATATTTTCATGACGAATAACCCAATTTCGGTGCTATATGGGAAAAATTGTTTCAACGAAATCCGTACAGTGTGTGCAATCGTTGTTACGGTCAAACAAATGAACAAGGTTTGCAACCACCTCGATCTGAGTTTATTTGCACGAAATTCCGTTTTCATTTGCATTCTAATAAAATTACATATTAAAAATAATTTATTGTTCATCATGCACACATCATATGGATTGGTCAAATTCGAAAAAATCAGAAAAATGTTTTGTATGAAACCAACGAGGAATCCCGTGTATTTGAATATATTGGCGGAAGCCTTTTTTTGAAATGAAATTTGAATATCATTCATGAGGAATATTAGCGAACACAACACAACATTGAAAAAAAGAACCACAAACGGAAGGAACATCAGTATTTTTTCTTTAATTTGAGCTCGGTTCTTGAGCGGGTAATAGGGTGCTTGACCAAAAACATAAAATAACCCATAGCAAAACTTGAAATCTTTAAACGACACCATTTTGATTGAATCGAAATTATTATTATGTGCACGGTGCAAAGTTCACCTTCAGCCAGAGATTATGTATACTTCTGTGCTAGCTGTAGTGACTGCTACGATTAAACACATGTTTCGAAAGTATAGTTTTTGGTATTGGCGTTTCAATGGAACTCCTTTCACGAAATGACAACTAATTGATTTATTTGAGTGGAATGATTTAATCGATTGATTTAGTCTCAGGTCACAATGATAATAAATTTAATTGACTGACTTGTGCACAAACATTTATTGGTAACCAAATACCAATGTTAGAATAAAACCAAAAAGTACCGTTTACTCAGCTAAACACAACATACGAAAAAAAAAATTATAATAAAACACGTACTTATGATTTGATATTCCTGAATGCGTTCGTCCTCGTAAAAGTCGATGATGAGCCAAGTGACCAAATTCCAAATGTTAATCATCACTTGGATAATGAAACACACGAAAATCCATCCGAAATTGTCGTTGATCAATTTCGATATTTGCCACATTTTATAATGAACATTTTTGTACACTCAATATCGGCATACATTTTATCCTCGTAATTTTGATACAATTTAAACGCAGCAGCTGCATCGCCCACATTTTTGATCAGTTTCGAAAGGCTTTTGTTGATGGTTTTCATCATGAAATGCAACGATTCCAAGCAGAACAAGCCGTGCATCGACGACATTACGGCATTAATTGAATACGTTCCGCGAAAAATGAGCTTTGCTTCAACGCGACAAGTGAACAAAATCATAACAATGACGAACTCATTAAAAATTTGTCGATCACAATGCTTGAATGACCATTGTATTTGAAGCGTTTGGCTTGAGTACTGCTCCACGCTTCCAAATGTGTTCCATAGTTTCTCCAAACTGTTTCGGAACAGTGGGGAACATTTCATCGCCATAGAGCAATTGAAATAGGTAATCACCATGAAAACGGCTTAAGTTAATTGAAAACTGTTGATTGATATTCAAATCGAAAAAGTAGAAAATGACCACGGTTATATATAACAAGTACAGTACTGAGGGAATGAGTTGAAGAAAAGTGGCCAACATTCTCTTGCTGGATGAATTTCTGTGCGAACTGCGTGCACAATACGGACTTAGTCCCAACAGAAAGAAACAAAACGTATATTTCCAAGCGAAATTTTTGAAATTCATTTGTTCAGCCTTTTTCTTCCAAAAACACAACCGAATTTCAAGAACTATTACACTCAAATACGCACGGCATTGTATTTCTGATTCCGATTAATCTTGAGTTTTTTGACGACGGCTATTTTACGACGTTTTTCACTAATTGGAATGTTTTCTATCAAAATACTTTCTTTTCTTCGTGTAAATATTGGCTTTCATTCATGGAATCATGACTCATTCCGCTGCCCGAAGTGATTTGATTCTGTTTTTTTTATTGTGTTTATCCAATATGGTATTGGGAACCAATATTTGAGTTCATTTATATACGCTTGGCAACTTGAGTTTGACCGTTGGAGTGGTTAGTCACAAAGATGAATGAACAAAAGACGTCAGCTATTATTATTATGATTCATGTTTATCGATCGTGAGTAATAATTTGAAAATGGAATATTTTCATTACGACGCTGTGAAGCACTTGACGAAAGCAATAAGAAACGAGTTTCACACACAGGGTGATTAGATAATTTGCTTTTTTAAAATTATCTTCTTGTAATTTTGGAATATTTATAGATAACAGAGCTAAGTTATGCAAATTTTCATAATGGTTTGCGGACCACAAGCAAAGGCAAGATATATTAAGTTTTGATCGTATACCTTCGACGTTAATTGGCTTGACGCCCTGTTTATTCATTCAGGAACCGAGTCTGATAAATGAACGTAGACATGTTTTCAATTCAACAACCTTGGAAATGTTGAGTTTTTGTTGACAACAACACCGGGCTATATCGGCGATATGATATTGCAATCAATTTTCAATTGAAACGGATTAAAATCTGGATTTACGGTTTATTTATGATGAAGAGTTAAAAAAACGCGCGTAAATTTTCATCAAGCATTTATTGATACGAAACCAAAATCGAAACTAAATCACATTCAATGGAATACTTTACACGGCAACAACTCCAGTATTTTCTTGAATTCAGTCTAAGTATGATGAGATACGAGTATGTTGATCCGGGACACCCTTGGCACCTATGAATGGAGATAAATACTTCATGTATTACAAAGCTAGTTCGATATATTTGTAATGAAAGTCGAAATCAAAAACTAAATCGAATGGCAAAAACAAATTTTCTCCCAATAACTTACATGGTACGCCCCAACTAATGACACCCACATGTTTCTTCTTTAACCAATGGTCCTCCACTATCGCCGTGGCATGTCCCTTGATATCGTGCAAATAGAGCGGTGACCAGCCTGTCTGATCTTGGCCCCAACCGGTGATGCGCGCTCTTCCGCTTTTGCCTACATCTTGCTTACTAATTTTAATTGGTCTAATATCATGGGTAAAATGCACTCGTCGATCGGTTTTAACGCGTGAAATATCATTGTGGTACAAATTATGGTTTGGGTAATTTATCACACTATCAATTCCATACCACGTTCCATCTTCTGTAGGATGATGTGCGCCCAATACTATAATTCTATTGCTATAATCTGTATTTTTCAGGGGTTTGTAGATTGAAACACAAGCCTTCTAGCGCCGCAGTTTGCCCTACAATATCATATACGGCAACCTGCAGAACTATTCATTCAGTATATATCATGCAGCTTAACTGTCAATCTGTATCCAAATCCCCTTGGTATTTTTACCACTTGTACAGTGGGCCGCTGTGACAACCCATCTGAAAATCCGAAAATCGATACATTTAAATAATCGGATTAAAATTTGAAACGGCTGAAATTGTGTCAACGCTAAAAACGTATTTACCTGTCACTTATGAGGGCTCCGCCACAGTAATGTGATGTTCGCATTTTTTTAATATGATTTATAACACTTGGCTCTAATCGTCGTAATGACACTTGATATGAAAATTGATGTGGGTCTGCTTGTAGTCCACCATGTATCCGAGGCTGCACGAAATTATGCACATTTTTCATTAGAAACGAATGTGACATCGATTTGTCGACCAATAAAATCATCAATAAATAATAGTGTAATTTATTTGGGTCAAACGTACTTTTCTTCATTTTGAGGAGAGATTTTTGACTTGTCTGGGAGAACGGTCTGAATCAAACTGATTCTGCGAATGAAAAACTCCCGTTTTTTAATATATCAATGTCGTCTATTTCTAACTCTTATCTATACGTAATTTGACAGTGATTAGCCCACTACGATACATTTTACCTCATTTGCTACTATGGCTTTTTGCGTTCAGCATTTTAGAATATTCTGAATTCTACTGATTTCGAGCATTGATTTAGACATTGTACCATTTCGAATGGCAACAGAACAATCCAATTGAAGTAGCTTAGATTTTTTTTTCTTGAAATGTTTATAAATGTTCAATAGAAAAAAGTGAAAATCAAGTGTTTTAAAATTGAATAATCTTTATGACGAACGAATCGGCTTCAAAATTATAGTGCTACTTTCTCGGATCACATTTTGAAGCCATTGCTCAGAATGATGCCAAATAATGCCTGTTCTGAAGTGAATTTCGAAAAATACAAAGTATATCACACACCAAAAAAAATCAGTTTATTTCATACCAGAAATCCAAATGTATTAGGTAGGAGAATTGGTCCAAAAACCAACTAATAAATATTGAATATGAGATGTGAACGCTAGTGTGAACGTATTTTAGCTAAACAGAACAAAAATTACGAATGTAAAAGTTATGATTGATGGGATCTGGTAATGTGTCAGTGCTGCGTTCTCCATCGTTTTCTTTATTCATCTTCTGTGCAATCAGCGCACATGTTCTCTTTGATCCATTTTACGAACGAAAAAATTCGTACGAACGATTGATTGCCACACTTTTGAAAATGCCAGAACGTACCGATTCCAGCAAGCTGATTTGTATAAGGATAAATCATATTAGCACCTGTGAAAATAATCAAAAATTTATTAATCATGACCTAATAAGTTATTGTGCTGAGACTTTTACCCATATCAGATATGCAAGGGCGAACATCTGAATAAGTTTCTACACACATAGCATGTACACCATTTGGTGTACACTGACTATAGCATTTCCATACTTTCGCGTTTCCTGTTGCTGCAATTCGAAACCAATTTGGTAGAAATAAGTTGTTGTGAAAAGAGCAATCGAAAAAACAAATTTATCATAAATGGAAAATATTTCAACATACTTTAGGTTCGTCTACAAATGCTTCGTTAGTTTCTCCACCCCAACCAGCAATTATCACAATTTCACCATGTGTCATATCACGATCCGATAATGCAATGCTCTTGATAGTGTCAGACAATGGGATTTTTTGTGTATGAATAATTCCCAAATCAACTATTGGATCTGTTCTTCTTGTAAGATAGGCCTCTCCCAGCAACAAATCCATCTCAAAATAGGGTTTGTGCCATATCGTACTATTGATTGTAAGCTCAATGCCACCCGAACTAATATTGGATCTTCCGGCGTACAGTCGACAATTTGGTGGATATTGACACGATGAAGCGCAAATTGAATTGGTCAATACGTCATACTGCGATTCAATAGCGCCAGCGCAAATCGGCATGAAACGTCCAGTGTGCGGATGAAGCACCTCAATCAGAACGATATGTGGAATATCACCTTCCTTTGCATCAATGGCTTCCTTTGCGCCATCACGTACCGATCACGAAACAATCGATGCCACCGACATAATTAAAAATATAATTTTCATTTTGTTAAATTTTCACACTTTGAATGTCCAATCAACGCCTTTTTTCCAAAGATAAATTGGACTTTTATTGCCAGTTCATGTGTTGAGCACAGAAAATATACGTATCAATAACAATATTCACTTCCAACCACTTCTGCCTACTATGTATGTTTTCATTTCCGTAGAGATTATAAGCAATGAAGACTTTGAAAATGAAACACCGATCGAGTTAACATGTTCTTAGACAGAGTAATGAAACCAAATACAGACATTTCGGCGATTTATGATGCATTCGTATCTCATACAAATTGTTCAATCGAGTGTAGCGATGAAGAAGTTGTCATTGGAAATTGAGGGCCAAAAACTCTTCAACTATGTGATTATCATTGATTTGTGTAAAAATTCCATTCCATAAAAATTGATCCTGCTGTTGAACACACTTCATTTTGTTGATTAGAAGATTTGATTGCAGCATTTTGTTGCATTTCAAATTGCAACGCTTAACAAAGAAAACAGTCGAGACCAGCTGTCATAAGGAAATCGTAGGCAGGCAGCTTAAATCCGTCTTTAAAATGGATTATTTTTATTCAATCAATTTCAATACGCATTAAATTCCGTGTTTCAAAATTGAATTTAAAGCCAGTGCTTTTAATTGCATAATACGTTTAATAAATGATCATTATTTGAATGAAGGCGGTTTCTGGCAATCGTTCGATCAATAATCATGTTGACACCAATTTATCTGTCTCAAATGGTACCATTTCAGATGCTGGTTGCTCACATTGTTTCTCTCTCTCTCTCTTTCTCTCTCTCTCTCTCTCGCTCTCTCTCTCTCTCTCTCTCTCTCTCTCTCTCTCCGAATGCAATGTACGTAATCGTGTCACTTCACATTACCCCGAACCCCGGACGAATTCAATAATGTGATCTAGAAATAAAAAATAAAAGTATAACAACGAAAATCCTAAAACGAATACGATAAGCAATTATTTCATGTGCGATATAATAACCACGAAAGTTGCTCCAATTACAGGTGTGTGTATGCGAAAGAAGAGAAAAAAACCGCATTTCGTCTGTGCACCAAAGAGACATATGTTGGTTTCCATGCCCATTCAATATTATTTGTGTACATGTTATTCGATCTCACGTCTGAGTCGTTGAAACGTTGAATGTACGTGTTTCTGGTTTGCATACTCTCTGGACCCAAGCAGCGATCGATCGACCAGCAGACACAGAAGCACATGCACTGTGCAGAGAAAGAGAACAACGCCAAAAAAAACAAGAGAGAATTTATTTCAAGTACATTATACAAGAATTTCGGTTGAGTCACCTTGAAAGTGAAAGTCACTGTCTGTTGTATAGCCAACTGTTCCTTTTGTTTTCTTTTCATTGGCTCTATTTCGGCTGTTCAGTGTTTTCGTTTGCATGCGTACAGACAGCATTACTACACTTAATAAATGCATTCAACTCTCGATGGCTTGTTTTGTCTTGAAAGAAACAAAAAATTACGCATTCTATAAATAAATTATGTAATTTTCTGCATAAAATTGATAATAGCACGGAAAACAGCAGTCGGCCACCAGCAGTATGCTAGGTGTTGCATGAAAAAATGTTGTTTTCGGCTGCTTAACAAAGACCGAACAACAAGAACAAAACGATGGAAAAAAAATTGTTTGTTTTTTTTCTTTTAAATTCAGGTTTTCGATCTTTTCCTCTGTTCGCCACCAAAAATCGAATCGTATAAAAGCAGAACGAACATCGACCAAAAGCATCATTCGCTTCCCAGCCTTCCTCTGTGTACTCAAAACAGAAAGAAAAACAATAAGAAAGAACCAACATGTTCAAAGTAAGTGAACTCACACTTTTGGTTTTGTAGTGAAATTAGTTTTTTTTTCTCTAGTGGGCTATTTTCACTATTTGATCGACTATTAATTCAAATAATTTTTTTCTTTTTTTTTCAGGCAATCGTTGTCTGCTCATTGGTGGCTATTGCCTCAGCTGGAGTATTGCCAGACCCACATGGTTATGATGCTCATGCCTACGAAGTGCATGCTCCAGCCAGCTACGATTTCTCATACTCGGTGCAAGATGGCCATACCGGCGATGTGAAACAACAACAAGAGTCACGCCGCGGTGATGCCGTCCAAGGTAGCTACTCGTTGGTTGAACCAGACGGTCACAAACGCACAGTACACTATGCTGATGATGGCCACTCTGGATTCAACGCAGTCGTTGAACGTGAAGGAACTGTTCACCATCAACCACAAGTTGCTGTTGCTCACGCACCAGTATATCACGCTGCCCCAGTAGTTCAGGCTGTGCACGCTGCTCCTGTTGCAGTAGCCCACGCACCAGTTGCTGTCGCCCACGCACCAGTTGCTGTCGCTCACGCACCAGTTGCTATCGCCCATGCCAGCCCAGCTGTATACTCTCATGGTCAATCAATCTCACACCAAAGCTTCTCGGCTCCAGTTGTTGCCCATCAAGCATATGCAGCTCCAATTGCCCATGTTGCCGCTGCACCAGCCTACCAAGCCATCCAACCAGTCCAACAAGTTGGCTATGCCAGCCATGGTTATGCTGGACAAGGATACTCTGGACAAGGATACTCTGGACAAGGATACTCT